GCACGAGGCGATGCATGAGGAATAGACGCCTTCGTAGGTCCGTCGATGGGGGTCCATTGGTCGTTAACGTGGAGGTGGGGAGAATGGGTGGGATCTAATTAGAGCGAGAGGAGAGGAGAAGAGAGCGAGAAAAGATTGGATTTTTATGAACAGGGGGTTGAATAGAGGGGAGAGAAAGAAGGTGCTTTCACGGTTGAAATTGGTAGAGGAGGAGGAGACACAGCGGCGGCTTATTCGGTCGTAGGCGAGGAGAGAGCAAAGGGATTTATTTGATCGACGACGAGACAGAGAGAGAGAGAGAGAGAAGGGGGAGGAGAGAGAGAGAGAATGACGAGGAGAGGGAGGTAGTAAAAATGTACGGGTTTTTTTTTTCTTCTTTATAAAGCCAAAGTTTTACATGATTTTCTTTTTAAATCCACCCAATTTCAAAAAGTACGCTGACCCCCAAAATATCATAAAAATTTAATTTTGAATCCAGTTTCTGTATTTCATCAGTTTCGTGCAGTGTATTTTATCAAACATAAACTTACCCCCAAAACATAGCAAAATTAGAAACTATAGCAGAGCTCTTGCGATGAAAATCGATTACCGGGCTTGAAAACAGTTCAGATGTTGTTTTGGGTTTCGGTACTATTTTGGAAATGGGTGGGTTCAAAATTAGGCGCTGGTAAAATTTTGGCCTTATAAGTTAAATCCTTTTAATATATATAAAGTGTAGGGACCGATGCTCTTTTTGGCGTGCTTGGAAGCCAAAACAACGTGTCTCGAAGGATTTTGCCGTCATGAATAAAGAGCAAGATTAACGTGCGCTTCGTGGGCGCATGTCAATATTACTTGAGCTTCAGCCTGTAGGATGCCTGGAGTGCATGTTTGGCTTTAATGTCATGGTTCCACAAAAGATCGAGCAGATTTTAAGAGAGAGAGAGAGAGAGATACAAGTTCTCTGAATTGAATTGGCGTTAGATTCGGTAATCTAAATAATATCAACAGAAAACTGCGTACATACCTAGGTTATTGGTCACATAGTTACACCAACAGGATTTATTATGTAAATTTCATCGTAAAAAGTTTGTGAATTCATTTTCTAAGATTAAGATCAAAAAGTTGGTATAAATAAATAAGGTGAACATATCTCATAGTAAAACGAATTTCTGAAACTTTTTGTTTTTGTTTTACTTCAGCATCGTCAACGGTTGCACCAAGTGTGAAGATCCATGCTCCGTCGTGCCTCAATACAACCCGCCTGCCAAACTCAACATCTCTGCTTTTGTGATGCATCCAAAGTACGTGCCCAGTTGACAACAGTGAGCAAAACATATCGGGGGGCAAAAATAAGATAACGCACGATGAGCTTTTGGATGCGCCAAATATTGTGAACGACAGTGAAGAGAGAGGCTGTTACAATCAAGACCATCAGCTCATTTTAACAACACGCGAGAGACGAAATAGAAAACTCCTTCGCAAGTCATCAAGCGTGTTATAGAACGCAGAATCTCAGACAAAGATAATGGATTTAGTTTTCGACGATAATCATAATACTTTTTGTAATATGCAACTAAAATTTGGTTGGAAAATAAATCGTTCACGTTTATCATAATTTTCTTATCAAGGGGGGGAAAAGAATAAATGGGAGATTCTATATTTCTCGCTCCCAGCTTATAGTTGACAACCTTATGGAATATGAACTTCCAAAGCGATAATGAAAATAAACAACTCTATTGGACACTTGATTTGGATAAATGATAGGTTTAGGACGGTGTCCCATCATATGACTCTACAATTTTGTACAAATCCATTTTCCCCGGAACCCTGTAACCGGATTTCAGAACAGGATGAATAATAAAAATGGTGGAATCAGAATGAACTGATACAATCACAGCAGAAATGCAAATAGAGAATTAACACTTGCGAGGGGACTTTGTTGCAAGCTCAACTGTGCACTCTCCTTTCAAGCTCAGAGAGGACATTATGTTGCTTGAGTCTGGGAGAAAATAATGACACTATATGAGTTCTACTGAAATGTTCCTTTGCTTTAGCAGTGTAGTCCATGAATGAGGGGAAGTTCTAATTGCAAGTACATATCTGTGAAGCTACAATTTTCTTGAGCTGATCTTTCATGTCCATGATTATGTGCATTCTCGTATCTCAAGATCCAACAAGACCTTTGAAGCGAGCGTAAGCAACAATTAGAATAAACAGTAAGGCGCAAACCAATCCAGATATCCCAACCACCTGTTCAGCAATCCAACAGAAAAAAAATCAGTACAGTACGAAAGCATACACAATTGATGAGCATATGAGGGGCCTTTCTTTCTTCTTTTGTGAGAAAATAGTATGCAGGGACTTACCCATTTAAACACATAACCATGGTTGTCATTCCATGAATATGGGATGTTCATGCCAAAAACACCAGCGACTAGTGAATAGAGAGAGAGGCAGGCTGTGCCAGAACTTAGGAATAGCTCTAACTGCCAAGGGACACAAAAACACTATAAGAATAGAGACAATGGAAATTCTTTGTATTCACTGCAAGTTGACTAAAAATTTATAGAAACAGTTTGATAAGGAACAACTTGAAGATTTACCTGAATCAATTGATTTCGATGGTTGTCCAGCTGCAAAATATCATACAAAAAGAACTTAGAATACTACGAGGAAAAAGAAAACCTATATAAAAGCTATCAAATTTCTGCACAGAGAATTTTCAGGTTCAGGTAGCTACCTGAATGTTAATATAATCCTCTGTGTCATCAATATATTCACGCAGCTGCAGACAGATTACAAATGTGACATTATTCATGATAAGCTGATGCAAAAGAGGTAATAACATCTGATCCAAAAATCTGAGAGCCAAAAACCACATGATGAAGAAATGCAGTTTAACGAACAAAATATTGATAATTTCCTCAAATATGTAAAATGAAGATATAATGGTAAATCTTTTATTTTAATACAAGATACACTGCAAACATTAGGAATATGCAATAGATGAGGCTGGTACAAGTAGATCCACAAGGACAAACCAAAAGATGAATGAATCCAATACATGAAGCCACATCTATTCTGCTCTATAATTAATTTAATGGCCACTTTCCTACCAGCATACAACATGACGCCCTATCTACCACCCAATGGAGGTATCAGACCCTTTCTGCCAACCCGTAGAAATGTCATAATCTGTTTCTAAAACCCTGAAGACGTCAGAACTAGCAACATTAAGGAGCATAGGAAAATGGAATGCCCAAACAACATAGCTCATTGCCAATTAGTCGTGGTCATAACAGTCCTCAAGTTTGACCCCTACCTTGAGAGGGTTATCTTCTTAACTAATAGGGTAAACAAGAAAATTCCTTACGCAGAAATATGGGAACTTTATCCCTAGTGGTTAGTTGGAATAACTTAACATCAAATTCCAGTCAATGAGCGCAACCAAAGAGAAACAATGGCATATTGTCCCAACTTTAAGAGGGTTATTCCAATCAATGGCAGAAAACCCTCCACTTCCCCCCATAGACATCCACAAAACCTCCCCCTCAAATTCATCTCAATGACTCAATCAATGTTACAGAAGACACTAAGCGGACTAGACGTTTGAACCAGCGCCTAAACGCCTAGGCGGTGGCGAGACGCTTGGCTATTTTTAAAATTATTTAATTATAATAATTAATAAAAACATATATTAAATTCATATAAATTTGTAAAAAAAATAGCAATCTTAGATCCATAATAAAACATGCATACTTAAATGCTAAATAGTCAAAATAATAACTAATAGGGTTATAGAAAGCGCTAGGAGACCTAAGCATTGGACCCGTCGCCTAAACCTTAGGAGATTTTTTTTATTTTTATTTTTTAATTACAATAATTGATAGTAAATGTTACGTTATAGAGAGTATAGGTGTCAGATTGGTGTCTAGGCAGATTTCTTTCTTCATTTAAGTGGTGATCGAGGAGGTTTTGCTGAAGGTCTGAGGAGGTAGTGGAGGTGTTTATATTTGAAGTTTAAAGGAGTTTAAAGGAGGTTGGAGGACTTGTAGGCTGCAATATAGAAAATCACGATCAAGGTCTAAATGATACAGTCCACATAAGCAGACAATGCTCCCCTAAACACTCCCAAAACCTATGTGAGTAGTCTAGGTACCGCCTAGGCACTAGGCGTTAGTTAGGCAGCATAGGTACGACCTAGGCCTAGGCGGACTAGCCGGAGGCTCTTTAAAATAGTGGACTCAATCATGATTCTGTCTAGATCGCTAATGATTTGGGTCATGGAGTTCAAGACACAACAAATTTTATGACTGTGCAATCTGGACTTGTCGTTTGTGATGCCTTTTATATATGGTATTGGGATGGGCAGTTTTCTTAATCTGCAATCAGACAGGTGAATTGTGTGTGAAGTTTCGGGTGTTATAAGTAGGGTTTGAGAGAGTACATGTACTCAATCTACATAATTTTGAGAAGTTTTAGTTATAAAAAATTAGATGATGCTTATTTGAATATTTTCTACATAATTTGTCTTCCTCTTTTGAAATATTTTGTAGATATTAACGTTGGCTATTCTACTCGTTTTGTTTGGGTTATGGTGTATCTCTTGTGAATAAAATTACGCGGCCCCCCAGAACTGAAATCCTGGATCCGCCCCTGTACTCAATTCTAGTGGAGAATCTCTGGTCCTCTTCCACATGTGGACTTAGGGCAAAGACTGAACCTCATTTATCTGTTAGTCCTTTCCTACTCTCTATTTTCAACATTCATGTGTTTGTGCTTCAATGGCTTTATGCATTCTGGGGTTAAGGTACAAAACCTACTTGAAGAGTTACACGCAGTGCTCATATCCTTTTGCAGTCAAAGTCATTCTCCCCTTCCAGGCATGTACTCGCATTTCTAATTTGATGCACTTTCAACAGTTCCCTTCCTTTCCTGTTTCCATAAAAATCAAGCATCACATTGGATGGTTCTACACTTCTATGCACATCTCAACTTGTGTAACTAGCCAACTATGTTTTTATGTTTTTTCCTTACCCTTTTAATCATCTCCAAATTCTCAGATCTTTGCAGTATTGTCCTCACAAGTTTGTCATCAGATGGTAGTGTTGATTACAATGGCATATGACATAATTATATGTCATATCCTCCCTTTTGGAATAGCTGGATACAACAGAAAACACCGATTCTCAATGTGAAAAAACAGACTTTGAAACATGAACGCTCATTTTTTGTGGCATTCTGTATTTTTATGTGGGATACTGAATCCTGAGTGAGAAGCAATCAAATTACTAAAAAATTTATAATGCCTGGTACGTGAATGTCTGAACAAAGAGAGAGAGAGAGAGAGAGATGCAAATGGAAGATTCAGAAATATCATCAATCTCAAGCAAAGAAACAGCCTTTAAAGGACTATGTGAAACTGGTGTGCGACAAAAACACAGATGCAGTCACGCTACTGTCAGAAGCACAAAACGTATCTATGCAAAAACATGAGAGAGATTTATATCTATAACATATAACTTTACAGATTAAATATTTGCATACCGTGGTCAATTTATTCAAGGTGCCATCAATCTGCATGAAGTATGCCTGTACATTTAAAAATAACAAAAAACATCAGTAGTTGATATTTGCAAACAAACCAGGATTTACTTCATGTTAAGAATCAGGATAATTGTGATCTTTAAGAAGCAATTTCATATCCAGACCTCAAGTAACATCTCTAGCTCTTCAACGTCATTTTCATTTCCATGAAATGTTGCCGCGCTTGCTCTGCTCGCCCTTGATATCTTTGAACCAATGGTTGGTGAGCCTGGGAACCAATTAGGTACACCGGAACCACTAACTGGTGAAGATGCTCCAGCCAATTTTCTTGACAAATACAGATCAGCCATGTCGTCGTCATCATCCAATAGTTGCTCAAGTTCATCTCTTACCTAGATAAGGCAGTGAGATTGATAAATATAGTCAGCATACAAGCTCAAAGTTTTCTTCTGAAAGATATTAGAAAATTATGTTTGCAAGATACCTTTTGAACACGAGCAGTCAGCCTTGTCATTGCACTCTTGAGCTTACGCACTCTGTCCAAGTTACGACTGCTAATCTGCACATAGAATGTCATGGCCCATCATATACCAACATGAGTAATAAATGTCCTGGACTACCGGTTCAAGCTTTCCCTTTTCTTTTATTAAGATGTTGGTGAATGGTAAGTTCCATTCTAGTCCTAGAATTGACTGGTTTTAAATAATAACAAAACTGCAAGTATTAATGTACACAAAAAACTTTTTGAATTTCCTAGGAACATGCCCACAGTGAGACGTAATCAACTAAAATAAAAGCGACAAGCAGTACATGCAAACTATGCAATATAAAAACATCAACCTCACCAATATCAGTATGCCACCTCATAAAAGGTCTTTAATAATGAAGAGACGAGGACAAACAACTAAATAAATATAAAGTGGATGTTTTATCAATTTACAAATACAACTGAAGAATTGTTATGATGACTGATGAAGAAATAAGTAAAGATATGCAAATTCATTTTATGTTTTCCAAATTCATGAGCTCGAGAATCTTAAATTATTACTTTTCAAACTTTCCTATACCACACATGATCAGCCTACTTTTGGGGATGCCATTTTAAAATGAGAATTGACAAATGGCTATCAACAAATAATTGTCTCTCATGTGAAGTATAGATTGAGAATGTGCAGCGGGTAGATGTAGAGATATTCAGTCTCCTTGGTACAATTTTTTGCTTATTTTGACTCCAACTCAACTGTGACCCAAAGTCGCCATGAGATTTGTCTTCACACCCATGTCCAACCCTGTAAATTAAGGTGAAAGAAACAAGCTACAATGTCTGGTAAACTGGGGTATACTCTTGGTTAATTGACGAATAACTGAATTGGAAGAAAAAGGAAAGAAACTATTCAAAGTTAAATTATCTTATTAATTCAGGCCCACTTAATGTTCCTCAATACTATGTCTATTTTCATGTATAATAACAGGGCTTCACATACTCAACATGATATGCTGTAACCTCTATGGACCAGTCCATCCGCATGTAAAGACACAGCTGCTGATGAAGGCATGTTCAATGCAATTACATCTTAAAAAAAACAATACCAAAAAATACAGGCAAATAACATGGGCTAGTCGGAACCAAAAAAAAGTAACAGAAAGGTTTGAACTGAACCATCAAGGTCATTATAGACAATAAATATGCTGGCAATCATCAGAAAAACCTAATATCCACCATGATACGCATTCAAGAAGGTTGTGAGATTTTCAATAATAAACTGACAATTAAGAATTATCGCTATAAGGTAATAAATTTTGTTTCACGTATACGATTGCATAATACATGTCTGCAAGTGTGTAAATGTACAAATGGAGATCCTATATACCTTCGGGATTCAAAATTTAATCAACTACTACACCCATATATGAGAAGTTAACAACTACCACATATATGATTCATCAAAGATTCATGACTTTGTCCCCACTATTGTCAGATTGCATTTCACCAAATCGAAAAACACAGCAATTTCAATCATAATCAAACTGACAAATCCGACCTGAAGTCTGTATCACACAGGTACATAGGTTTGGACTAGATATAACCTGGACACATACAGGAGGTTGTCCTCCATAAGATGATAAATATGTTAACAATGTAGGTGGTAAAAGAGAAGAGTTCTTAAATAGATCACAAATAAAACGTCAGCCAGAATAAATAAGGATGAAAGATGTGAGATTTGTCAACAGGGAAAGGCAAGGAAAGAAATAATACAGCAATGAAGAGTTAGCAAGAAGGAAATCTTCCAACCAACATATCTACTCTGGTAGTATGTTTCGGAACAATAACCCTCAGAAACAAGTAGTGATAGCCACTAGAACCTGGTTCATAATCCCCCTCCAAGCAAGAGACTTCCTCCTCCACTGCTCCTAAGCATACTTTGTAAACATACAAAAGCTTTTGTGCCTTCTCGTCACCCCTTGCCTCTTTTTCTGTTAAATTTTCTTGGTATTACTAGTGTTGATTGGTCGCATGTCCATATTATTGCTCACTCTTTAACAAAAAGGACAATTTGGTGTTATTCTCTGATAAGATTATTTATATCCTGCAGTTGTGGTATAGACCAGCGTTGCATTAGTATAAGCATGCGACTCTATGAGTCCATTTCACCTTTTTGTTAATTCTTCAACATTTTTTCTTATTTTCAGGTTCCATACAAATTTTGCATTAGTATAATCAATAGTATTTATACATTCGAATACTAAAGCTATTTTAAGAGATACCTCACATTCTTTTCTCATTGTCTTAGTTTACATATGATACACAATGAAACGATGAACTTAATGAGATTTAATTCCCCAAAAAGAGCACCATACAGCTCAAAACATACGGCTGGATAGTGAAATTAGCAAATACATACATGGGAATCAATGAAACAAATGAACCAAGCAATACTGAAAAAATGTAATCAGTTCACTGATCAATATTTCCACGTAAAATAATAAATGCAGAGAAAGCACAAAATAATGTAACTGGATGCCTTAAATAATGCAAAATTCTGTATGTTTCATAGCGAATGTATTAACTTTCATAAAATCAAAAGGGGGCAATGAACAGAATAAAAAATTCTGTATGTTTCATAGCGAATGTATTAACTTTCATAAAATCAAAAGGGGGCAATGAACAGAATAAGTAAAATACCTTCGAAGTGAGCTCATCCATTAACTTTCATAAAATCAAAAGGGGGCAATGAACAGAATAAGTAAAATACCTTCGAAGTGAGCTCATCCAATGCAGGGTAAGCAGCAGTCTCCAATTCTGTTGTTCGAGCATCAAGAAAGCTACAAATTGCTTCCAAAGCAACTTCCAGAGCTCTAAACTCAAACGGAGATTCTGTAATACATAATATTCTATATAAGTCAAGCACAGAAAAACAATTAACCCTGTTATGGACACAAAACTCAGTGCAACCAACTAACACAGAAACAAAAGGGTAGACACAAATTACATGTAATTTATCACAAAAGTTAAAATGCACATCCATCAAGCCACACATAAGGAGAGTGCAAAATAATGACAAAAACCCTAGTCTCATGTCAGTCAATACTAAAGCATACACACAAATCACACAAAAACCAACTCGCGCAAATTTAAAGGGCTATAACTACTTCGAAGGTCTAAACAAATAACAGCAAAAACCACTCACCATCTTCTTCAGCGCCTTCTACATCATGCTGCCCACTCGAATTCTCCTTCCCTTCACCATGTTCTTGCTTGAAAGTATTTGCAGGCGGTAATCTCCTGCGAAGCTCCTCCACAATCGGAATCACATTGTCCTCGTAAGGATCTCTAAGCAACACCTACTTACGGAAAGCAAACTATTGATCAGCTCCAACTAAAAGAACCAATAACTACATCAAATTCTCATGTATAGTTAACCTCTGAACTTAAATTTTCAACATGTTTACCAAAATCTCAACTTTCAGTATAATCCTACCTCATCAGCAGTAATTATCGCTTTGATATGCTGCATCGGGGACAAAACAAAAACAACGGAAATCAGTAAATAAAAAAATCAACTAAAACCCCAAAAATCGTCAAAAAAAACCTCGAGATTGAGTACGATTGCCCCCTCGCGCCCCAGGATCGTGGAAGGATACGAGAGCAGCGGATCGAGGAGCCTAAGATCGCGCGCGTGGATCTGCACTCTGTGCATGATCTCATACTTGTCGGCATCCAAGATCGTCTCCTCTCCGCTGGAATCTAAACGTATCCAATTTCTCGAAACCACCGTCTTCTTCTTGATCGCGTTCTGCGATTCGGCGGCCGCGACCAACGAGTCCCTTGCCATCTCCTCTCCCACAATCCAAAGCTCGCATATCCAAACAAAAACCTCGATGAAGAT